GATCAGGATCAGGATCAGGATCAGGATCAGGATCAGGACTTTCGGGTCGAATAACTATAATTAAATGTTATATTGTAGATTCATTTGTAAAAATTAAAGATAATAATGAATACAATGAATTTTTACCATTTTGTATATTATAGTCCCTATGCAGTCTGTACAAAGCATGCTTACAATTTCGTAATTTTCGCAGTCTTCGACGTCTCTCGAACGTGAGCTGTCTTGCAATACGGACCATTCTTAAAATAAGGAACATATGTTATTTATTAAATCTCGGTTATTTAACAATTTGATTAATAAGAAACATAATAATTAGTATTATATTATCATATATGTACTATCACTAATTTAATATTATTATTATTATTAAAATTATTATAATTATTTACCATTATGAAAATTAAAGTTGTTAATTAATTAATCATCACAAAACCTGCCAATTGTGCCCAATTAGTAAAAATGTTAGAATAGAACTGAATACAAGTTTTAAATTCACAATTCTTAATACACCAGGTTAATTTGCATCATTAGACGCGCAAAAATGTGAATCTAAACACTTTATTTTGTATGTTTTTGTTATATTTCATAAATAAATAATTTTTTTACTTTTCTTTACTTTACTTTAAAGCATTTTGTTTCACCATTATCCCAGTTATAATATAACAAATGAAATATTAGCTTGTGTAATAATGGACGATTTTGTTGATCTTTTACGATCAGCGATTCAAGGATTTTTTGGATCACTGAGATCATAGCTACCTAGGGGCATCATGCCCCCTCCTCCCCCCCCCCATCTTTTACCCTATGGTTAGACTTTTGAATCCTATTTTGAATCCTAACGGATTTATTTGAGTTTGCATGTGGATTCTATAAATAACCCAAGCGACGCCGAATTTTCCGTTATCTCGAAGACCCAAGCGTTGGGGAGGGGACGGACCAACCCCGGGGTAGCTAGGGTTAAATGCAAACCAAGGATGGAGCGAAATGCAGGGAAAAGAGTTAGTGGATGATCAGCTCCCTTATACAGAGGTTCCCTTGAAGATTCCCCATCACCCTGAAACCGTTTCGATTCACAATATCTGATTAGTATAGTATCAATCGTATATTTTTTGTATCTTTGTAAAATAAAGTATAAGAAAAACCGACTCGACGAATATATTATTTTCTAGTGGTTGCATTAAGTATTTTTTTATTCATATACAATACTAGCTTGAAGTGAGACACAAAACTTCATTTTGAAACAAAGAACAAAATATCTGTTTAGAAAATAAAAACTAGGCTGTTAGGGTAGTTCTTGCCCTTTTTTAAATAGGTTTTTAGGGTTACAATATTTTCTTTTAACCGTTGATTATTAATCCATCTTTTTATATTGTTTTTGCATTTTAAAATAAATATGTTTTCATTTGAGGACAACGAAAATAATTAATTTAGGTATATTAACATGTAATAACTTAAACTTTCATTAGAAAATTGTATCCAATAAACGTCAAAACTGGTAAACTGATCGGGTCCCACTTTTATTTGGAATATCACATGACCTCAGGGAAATTTGAAGGGTCAAACCTAATAAAAAATAGAATATTGTAACTGGAAAAAATTAACCAATTTTAACAAAAATCCGCAAAATAATTGTTTATTGGAGTATGATGAAAAATGGCCGCTTCAAAATTATCAGTTAAAAGATGAAACCTGAAAGCCGAGTTAGATGACTATATCTCAACTTTTGTTAATGTACAGTAAGTCCTAATGACCATAGACCTAACTACTAAATGAGTACCAGGAGTTCCAGCAAACATTAAAATAAAGATCCATGCATTGACGAATAAAAAAGATTCATATATATTGATTTTTAAATAATAAATAGATAGCATTTCGGAAAATTAGGTTTTTTATTCGATGTGGCCTCTGCTCTGATCTTTATTGCATAGTGTTCAAATGAATGCCTGCATGCATTTTAGAAAAATATATTTCTTAGGTTTTTTATTCCCTGCACCTTTCCCACTGATCAGACGCTTTGTTGTATTTGTAAAGGTTGGATGACACGTGTTTCAGCTTTCCACATTTGTAGATTCTCATTTCAAAACTTCTTAAATAGTTTGACATTTCTTAACCAGTTTGACATTTCTTAAATAGTTTGACATTTCTTAAATAGTTTGACATTTCTTAAATAGTTTGACATTTCTTAAATAGTTTGACATTTCTTTAATAGTTTAACTTTTCTTAAATAGCTTGACATTTCTTAAATAGTTTGACATTTCTTAAATAGTTTGACGTTTCTGAAATAGTTTGACATTTCTTTAATTGTTTGACATTTCTTAAATAGTTTGACATTTCTGAAATAGCTTGACTTTTATTAAATAGTTTGTCATTTCTTAAATAGTTAGTCATTTATTAAATAGTTGACATTTCTTTAATAGTTTTATTTTTCTTAAATAAATTGACATTTCTTAAATAGTGTGACATTTCTTTAATAGTTGACATTTCTTAAATAAATTGACATTTCTTAAATAATGTAACATTTCTTTAATAGTTGACATTTATTAAAAAGTTCGTCATTTGTGAAATAGTTGACATTTATTAAAAAGTTTGTCATTTCTGAAATAGTTTGACATTTCTTAAATAATTAACATTTCTTGAATAGTTTGACATTTCCTAAATAGTTAAAAATAGTTAGGAAGTCATAAAAGAAATTCAGAATTTTAAGTTATAAACAAATGATATCTTCCACAATATTATTCAAAAAAGGGGTTAAGGGTACTGTGTGAATCGTAGGTGCCCCTCTTGCATATAGCCACACTTAAAATTACAAAAATAGTCCCTTAAGCTAGAGGATTACAAATTGTATCTCTTTTAATTATTTTATCTCCGAAAATGTTTTAGATATTATAAATTTAAATTATTTCAGGTAAACCCCGTTAAAGCGGTATTTAGGAGCAACTACAAAACGTTTTCTCACTGCACGTTTCCTTACTTAACACTTCCTTACTGAACGTTGCCTTGTAAACGAAACGTTCTCTGTTGCTGAACGTTTCCTTTCTGGACGTTTCCTTACTAAACGTTTCCTTAATGAACGTTTTCTTACTGAAAGTTTACTTACTGAACGTTCCTTACTGAACAGTACCTTACTGAACGTTTCCTTGCTGAACGTTTCATTAATTAATGTTTCTTAACAAAACGTGTCCTGCCACCAAACGTTTCCTGTTACAAAACGTTTCCTGCTACAAAACGTTTCCTGTTACAAAGCGTTTCCTCCTACAAAACGTTTCCTGCTACAAAACATTTCCTGCTACAAAACGTTTCCTTACAAAAGTTATCCAAAAAATTGTGTTTCGTATAAAATGTAACATTTTCTAATTTAATACACATGTATCCAGCCAATATACAATTTTTGCATCAAACGCGCAATGCACAATGGGCTCACTAGACAGAGTGGTGTGAGTTAATGTGTAATAATGCCAGACCGGTAAATTCCTTGAACTGGTTCGAATCATTCAACTATTGGGCCCTTGTGATTATTTAAAGAAAAAAAGTTGGTAATGAGTCCAGTTTATATTGGTGATCACTGTATAAGAAAAGTCTCCTGTTTACTGGGTCCCCCTGTACCTGGTTTCCCAGCTTCTAAGGATTATCTGCTCCCTTGTCTGGGTCAGATTTATTAAATCAGACTTTAATGCTTCCCTAGAATAATTATATTTTTTATGGAAAAGTACCATAAATCTATTTATGTCATTGTAATGGGTATTATTAGTGTTAAAAAGTTTTTGCCGAGATTTTCATTTTCATCGAAAACAAACTAGAAAAAATTAAAATCCCGGCAAAAGTGTTTCGAACGCATGATACCCATTTCATAAAATATGTAGAGTTATTCAGTTTTACTCAGTTTTTTTAAAAGCAGGTTACTTAATCACCCTGTGTAGTAGGGTGATTAAATAACTTTATCCCCCTACAATAAGACAAATTATGTATGAAATTTGAAATTTTAATAGCAGGGTAAAACAGTTATTTTTTCGCTCTGTTTTAGGGCGATAAAATGATGAACAACTTATGTTTTTGAAAAGAATATATTCTTCTTTATAACTTAATTTATTTCTGTTGTACATACTTACGAGTTACGGGTAAGAATAATGATAAAATGGCCGAAATTACTCATATTGCATATTTTAAAAAAATCTATATCTAGAGCATTAGGCTATTTTTGTCAACATTTTATTGGCAAACATTATTAGCATATGTTATTCGAAGTTAGTTTTCAATTTTTCTTGTTCAAAACTTTTGTATTAACTTGTTTCGGTAAACTTATTTAAAATTTAAATTCGAGTAAAAATAAACTTAAAACATTCAATTGGAAGCAAAAGACGATTTAAAAGTATTTCAAATGGATCATTAATATTATTTAGATGGTTTAAGGGGGGGGGGGAGAAATTTTTCTCTGATATAATTTATATGCTTGAGTTCAGAAGGGGGTAGGGGGTCTTACCTCTCCTCGTTTACAGCTTTCAGTCTGGCTTCAAGTAACGTCAACTAAAATAAATGAAAATTAATCCTTTTTTTACACAGATTTCTGGGTAAACTTTGAAGTGTTGCAACGCCTTTGTCTTTCTACATTAACTCACTTACACTTTTTTGTAGTTCGAGATATGCAAATTTGAAATATTTAATGCAGATGCTTTTAACCCTATCCCTGCTGGGGTACTTGAAAACCAGGAAACACGGGGGGGGATTTGACCCACCCACCCTCCTCTAAGTCTCATGATTGATGTTCAAATATGACAAATGATACATTATTGGAAAGCTGTTATGCTTTACTTTTAGAATCTGCGAAATATTTTCTTCACAAAATCCAGTTATTTAGTGAAAATGTTTGCAAACAAAAGAAATGTTCAAAAAATGATAAAATATACATTGACCAATGAGCATGCCATTTCAAAAAACCCAAACCCCCCCCCCCCCACCCTGTAGTTTTTTTACATAACTAACTCAAAAAGTATTGCTCTCAGGTTTTTGAAATTTTCTTTCCTAAATACCCTTAGCCCTCCCTTTAGGTCTAAAACTGGGCTTTTAAACTAACTGCCTGAGGTCTCAGGCACACTGCCTGAATGACTACATTTTCCTGTAACAAACTAAAACTTTGTTTTGACCCACTTTCAGTTGTCAGATTTAGATAATTCTAAGCTTTTTGGAAAGCCTTTGACAAAAGGAAACGGATTGGACAAAACGGTTAAACAACTATAAACTATGAAAGGTCAACATGCTTCTCTATGTGAACTGTCATATATTTCCCTGATTATCTATTTAATGACCGAGATTAGACCAATTTTTTTCAAAATCTTCAAAATGTCATAACTATTGGATCACTGTAAATTGTCTAAATCATAACATTTCTTTCTTAATAAATGTTCCGCCATATCTCTGGTGGTCTGCATAAAATAAATAATTTTACATCCATCACAATCCTTTTCTAAATTCTTATCATGATCAGTTATCTCCCTAGAAACCGGAAGTTTAAAGAAAAGACCGGAAGTAAGCCAACTAAACCGGAACTTTAAAGAAAATGATAAACATCTTAGAAATTACATTAAATGCGCCAAATAATACAAAAATGTTACTGCTTAATCAAAATTGTAAAATTTACTACTTTATAATTACATAAAAATCAACAAAACTGGAAAACGTTTATCGCATGTTTATAACAATCATTTTCGTCAATACAATGAAATATTCCAGTAAAACTACTTTAATCCTATTCCGGTTGGGCTATTTTTGTCTAATCAAGGCCGGGGTGTTTCCTCCCCCCATGATTTTGCCCTTAGAGTTGAGATAGTGGAGTGTGATACATGTCCTGAGTCCACCTTTTCAGGACCTGCTTATTAAAAAAATAGACCTCTTATTTCAATGGTTAGGGTGTAAGGGAGGATTTTAGATAAGTTCAAAAAGTAGACAGAAAAATGTTAAAAATAATTATTTCAATTTTGGACAAATATTAATTGTTACACATGTTATTACATCATTTTTCAAGGGCTTTTCAAATATATAATGTTTAGCCCTGAAGTTCACAACTATGATGTTGAAAAAGTGAAGAAATTTTAGAGTTCTAATGTTTAAGGGGAAACATCAAATTAAATCTTTTGATCGTTCAATTTTTACCCTGTAAAGGCTGGGAGGTCTAAATCTATGCATAGACTGGGGGAGGGGGACGTTTGGCACCCCCCCCCCCTAGCAAAAGGCCTTTTTAGAGAAAAGGTATAGGCTTGAAATGCATGTTCATAGTCCTATTTTTTCACAGACCGGACTTTTTATCCGCCCTTTACCCTACCCTATAAATTTGAAAAAAATATTTTTTTAACAAAAAATCCTTTAAATTACTATTCGTAAAAAGTCACAAAATTCACGGTGATAGTGTCTAAAATGAGAGTGCTAGGACAAAAAACTACAGGGGGGGAAGCGACAAACGCCCCCCCCCCAGCCTGATTAGGATTAAGAGTTACAGGTCAATCTAAAAGTCTCATCCTTTGTGGGTAACCCTGTACCTTACTCCTGAGGTCTAACAACTCTCCCCTCTGAGTTCTCTGTGTTGTCTCTGAAACCTGGAGTTCTCTAGTTTTACACTCAACCTAGAGTAATATCTTAAATTAAAGGGACTGTGAACAATTTACACCAGTTTCTTCCACTTCTGTAAATATATAGATTGTATATTTATCTATGTAAAATTTTGTACAGTTAAACCCAAAATAAAGAATTCATCAAATGTCGTATTCTTTACTTTCTGATAATGGAATGTTGGAGATATTTAGTTTTTTAATGAAATGATTATATGTAGCTCTTAAAGACTGTTCTGGCATATTCATGGCTATTTATTTATTTTCGCAAATACTGAGAACTACGTAAAATAGTATAAAACCCATTGAAAAGACGACATTTAATAATTTTTTTCGATGTTTGGCTCATTTAGGGTATAACTGTATGTACCAGGGCTAAAATTAAAACGATATCAGACCTTGAAGTCATCAACCATATTCTTAAAAAAATCTTTTTAAATTTAACTCACGATCTCGAAATGAATTATTTTTATATAATGATATAAACCCTGTGATTTCAAACCAATAATAAATTTAAAATTATAAACCTTTTTTTAGTTCGAGATAATGAACAGAATGTAAAGAATTTAAAAATTGTGAGATATGTCCAACTACGGCTTCAGGATAGTAAAATGTATGCTACAGTGGTACGGCTTTGTAACCTCTTTTTACATATTAGTTTTAAACTATCTTGTTTTTCTAAATAGCTCTTTAATAAAGAAGTTATGATTGAAAACATTTCTGTGTTACGTGAGTGAGTTTGTTGATACCTGAAGTTCCGCTGAATGAAGTTCTTGCTCCAGTCTTAATCTTACATCTTCTCCTGTACATGCGGAACATACATCTTTACTCTCCATCCTGTACAGTGAACATATGTATGTGTTGTGTATGTAAGCTAACCGGAAACAAAATTATAACTTGAGTCTAACTAGCGAGGCTGACATAAGTAGGGAGGGGTCGTTTTAATTTTCTCGTTGCAAACGACGAAAAACAACGAAAAACGAAACGATCGTTTTTAGAAAACTGTAAAAACGAAAGTAAATCAAACGTTTTCTTGGTCGTTTTTATAACGTTTAACAACCCTAGCCATAAGCGACAACATTTTCCCCTTCCATGCCACACACAAACTTTTTTTCTTCGGACAGCCATAAGCCATACGTTCTTTCATGCTACAGCATTTCAGTCTTCCAGCAGTTCTCCATATAGTTTCACTTTGACAGATTTGAACCGTTATTAAAAAATTGTAAAAAGCAAATAATATTTCTTCTGATGAAATTTAACAATTTGATCTAACAGAATGGATTGAAATCTCTAAGGTCTATGATATGGGTTGCAAAGATTTAAATTTTACCTGAGAATATCATGAAGAAGGGATTTGATTTCTATGACAATACATTTTAACTGTCCAATCTGTAAGCTCTGTACAGTGTCACTATAAAAAGTTAAAATATATTTTTAAGCTGAAATCTAGAAATAGAAACAAACTAGCAATTTTGTTGTTAAGAATTTCTAACCCCGTAAAAAAGTTAACAGAAAAATAAATAAAATATCTAAATCCGAACCCTCCACATTAAAGTATATAAAAATTGTCCTGCCGGCTGTCCTGCCTGCCACATGCAAACAATCAAATTTGCATGATTATTTTTCGTAATTTTTTCCAAAACTATGATGACTATGTCCCTATGAATCTGTATTCTGTACCTTTGAGGACAACGTTCCAATGAATCTCTAGCTGTGAGGGCTATGTTCCAATGAATCTGTACCTGTGAGGGCTATGTTTCAATGAATCTGTATTCTGTACCTTTGCGGACAACGTTCCAATGAATCTCTAGCTGTGAGGGCTATGTTCCAATGAATCTGTACCTGTGAGAACTATGTTCCAATGAATCTGTACCTGTGAGGGCTATGTTCCAATGAATCTGTACCTTGAGGACTATGTTCCAATGCATCTGTACCTGTGAGGAATATGTTCCTATGAATCTGTACCTGTCAGGACTATATTCCAATGCATCTGTACCTCTGAGGAATATGTTCCAATGAATCTGTACCTGTGAGAACTATGTTCCAATGAATCTGTACCTGTGAGGACTATGTTCCAATGCATCTGTACCTGAGAGGAATATGTTTCAATGAATCTATACCTGTAAGGACTATGTTCTAATGAATTTGTACCTGTGTGGACTGTGTTCCTATGACTCTGTACCTGTGAGGACTATGTTCCAATGAATCTGTACCTGTAAGGACTATGTTCCAATTAATCTGTACCTGTGAGAACTATGTTCCAATGACTCAGAATAAACTGCTGGAATTCGATCCTTTTCTCTTTCCCTAAACATTAGTAATTCTTCAATTGTAAAGTGAAAAAATGCACAATGTTCATTCATTTCAACAAAAAATCAAAAAAGTTGCTTGTTCAAACATTGTTTAATATTTTAAATTTCAAGTTTGAAATAGAATGCAAATTTACGAGTTCAGTGTCCGTCAATATGCTAACGGTCTGGGAGATATGTTGAATCAAACAAATGATTATTAATCTATCTAGACTATTTTATCTGATGCTTTTTTAACTAGAATTTTGTGTTTATACTGTCATCCATTGGGTTCTACAGGGACTGCCATAATTTCAATTAACCTTTTAATTAAAGAGGGTCTAGCATGCTTTATATGAGTATCTACATTCGAATTTTTAAAAATCGCATTTGCCACTTCTAGATTTTTCTGAAATGAATGTGACATTAATTGCTTTAAGTTCACACCGTACGCTATCGTACACTCTTATTGTATGGCTTTTTACACAGCGTTTAAGAGAAATGTACTTGAGTTCTCTGTCCTCATTGATCAGTCAAGATGTCACTCTTTTGGTTGGATGGTCCATGGAAATTATGTATACAGTCCATTTATGCCTCAAAGTATCAGTCAGATATATTTATCTTGAAGAAACAGAAATGAAGCTTATAATCAAGCTGTAGACAACTAGTTGTTAACCCATCAAGGATATTAAGATCTAATAATCAAGCTGTAGATATCTAGTTGTTAAAACATCAAGGATATTAAGATCTACTAATCAAGCTGTAGATATCTAGTTGTTAACCCATCAAGGATATTAAGATCTAATAATCAAGCTGTAGATAACTAGTTGTTAACCCATCAATGATATTAAGATCTATAATAATCAAGCTGTAGATAACTAGTTGTTAAACCATCAAGATATTAAGATCTAATAATCAAGCTGTAGACAACTAGTTGTTAACCCATCAAGATATTAAGATTTATTATAATCAAGCTGTAGATAACTAGTTGTTAACCCATCAAGATATTAAGATCTATAATGATCAAGCTGTAGATAACTAGTTGTTAAACCTTTAAGATATTAAGATCTAATAATCAAGCTGTAGACAACTAGTTGTTAACCCATCAAGGATATTAAGATCTAATAATCAAACTGTAGACAACTAGTTGTTAACCAATCAAGGATATTAAGATCTAATAATCCAGCTGTAGATAACTAGTTGTTAAACCATCAAGATATTAAGATAATCTATCATAATCTGATCATGGGAATTATCATGGGAATCAAAGATTATAAAGATAGCACAAGAGAGATATTGTCATCGATTTTTGAATCTATAATTCAATTGGAAGTCAAACCTTATATAAATCCAACGTATAGAAACCGCTACGTTTAGCAACAAGGCGTTTTTTCCGGGAGAACATTTTTTTATATTTTTGAGAAATTAAATAATCAGTGTAAAGTAAATATAATTTTCATAAATCATTTTATTTAAATGATAAAACGGAATTTTATGAAATTATATTGGCATTACTGGAGACCTTTCTTATACTTTTAAGAAATTTTTTTTCTTCTAAAAATAAAACTGTAGATAGCATTTTTATAAAATATTTTTTCAAATAGTAACATGCAATTTTATGTATAACAATATAATCATTCATTTATGTTGTCAGTACATAGATCTGGGGGACCTTAAACACATTAGAGAGCAGTGCAAATGTACATATTAAACTATTTTGCTCCTTTAATAATCCTTAAAGCTACAATGTTTTACAAAAACGTTTAATTCTCAAAAATAAAAAAAATGTTCTCCCGGAAAAAACGCCTTGTTGCTAAACGTAGCTGTTTCTATACGCTGGATTTCTATAAGGTTTGACTTCTTCAATTGGATCCTAAAAGCTAGAATATTAAGACGATATTAAAGCAATTGATTTATATCAATGTTGTTACAAAACGAATGGATTTACATGAAGCTTAAAAAACAACACATTTTATGTCTTGTCTTTTTATTCTATGATGAGAATACTGTGGACAAAAGAATTCAGGAGGCCTAGAAAAAGAGATTAGAAGGAATACCATAATAAACATCCTAAGCCGTAAAGTGTACAGGGTTACCCAGAAAAGATGAGACTTCAATGATGACCTGAAACTCTTATAATTTGACGAACTGGACTAGGTCTAGTTTCTGTGAGCTGACTTTACTACAGGGGATATAATAATAAATCTCTGTAAGAAAGTCACCGGAAAAAAAGTTTCTGGAAAAAAACCTGGAAATAAAAACTTTGGTGAAAATAATAATTGTGAACATCTTTTGATCCAATGAATTTTTCACTATAAGAGGAGTTTTTTTCCGAGGACTTTTTTGTATAAAATCATACTGGAGCCAGAAAAAAAGTCCTATAAAATAAAGTCTCAAAATGTTGGGACTTCCAGAGATTTTTTTATTTTAAGGACTTTTTTCCACAAGACTGTTTTAGTGCAAAAACTTTATTTCCGAAAATTATTTTTTTTGCGCAAAATATCATTCAGGTTTTCAATTACTAAATCAAAATAAACTGTCAGAAGATTACAAATTTTTTTTTTTTTTCAAAAATTTTACATTTTTAATGCTAAAAATTGTGGAACTTTTGTCAATTGCCATAAAATGTTGGACACCCTGTATAGTTTACATATAGTGGTTCTGCTGAATTTTAAATAACTGTAGTTTTAAACTTATTGAACTAGGAATTACCAGAATTAGTGAACAGGAATCGGGATATAGTATTTTCAACTTTTTCAGTTTAAATATACATTTTAGATGTTTAAATATATATATATATATTAGCAGACTTGCACTTGGTATATTTCTAACAGCTTGGTATATACACATAATATGTATATATACATAATCTATGAATATACTTTTCTTCAGTTTGTCTGTTTGTATCCAATTAACGTCAAAACGACTGAACTGATCGGACCAAACATTTTTTGTTTCTGTTACAATGTTTACAAAGATAGCATGTTCATGATTGAAATAAAAGATGGGCACGAAACGCCCATATGGCCTAGTATATACATTTCAATAAATCCCCCCCCCCCGCGCCTCAAAAATTATAATATTTGACTTAAACACCTTGTAGGTAGATCTATTTATAATTGGTTTCATGTGAATTAAGATTATACTAGTTTATCTATTTACAGATTATAAATGTATTCGGCATGCGTTTAACATGTATTTTAAAATGGTTTAAATCAATTTGACCAGAAAAGGCACATTAAATAATAGAACATAACTCATCCATTCAATGAATTAAAGGGGTCACTAAACTTTCTGTCCGGCTACCACCGGTTCAGTTTTACTTATTTAACAAAAAATACAAATGTTTTCTTTTTTAATAGATTTATAAAAAAACTTTCTTTAAAAAATCAAAAAGTTTTTCTCGATCTCAAAATAATTATACGAATACAAATATCAATTAAAGCTTATGGCCGCGGGATGATCGGGCAAATTTAGCAGAAACCATAATTTAAAGGGAGTGTTCGCGAAAAATGAAATCGGGGGTTTAGGCTTACGGCAATAAATAATCGCTTCTGATCGCTACTAATTTTACTAATCTATCAGTTGCGTCTATATGGAGAAAATCTACGTTCTTCGGTATGAGACGTTTTTAACAATTTTCTGCTTATAGACGCAACAGACAGAAGAAAGATTAGTAGCGATCAAAAGCGATTATTTATCGCCGTAAACCTATACAACCTTTCATTTTTCGCGAACACTCCCTTTAAACTTATTACGACTTCTTGAAAAATAATTTTATTGACATGTGCCACATATTAATATTTTTCAATATTTTTCTGAAGTATTTTTTGAACTTTTTTAAACTTACCTTTCTCAACTATCTCAACTGCATGGCAAAATCATGGGAGGGGGGGGGGTTGGAATCCACCCCCCTCCATCCATATTAGACAAAAATAGCCCATTTGGGATAGGGTTAAAAAATGTAGACAAAAAAATGTTCTTGCCTGATAAGAATGCACATGTTCTTCAGCTGGGAATATGCTGATAATATTTCTTCACTTAGTGTGTAAACACAACTCCCTTCATCCTAAAATAGTTACATTAAATACTTAAGTTCAAGAAAATTTTGCTGAATTTCGGCTCCAGGGGGAGGGTTATCAAATCAGACGCCCTGACTTAAAGGTTAACATAAAGAGATAAGGCTTTTCCTGCTGTGTCTGTAATAATGAATGCACATGCAGATTTGAATCTATTTATCTTTAGGATTTGATCAAATCTAAACAGGAAGTTATCTTTAAATTAATATGATAATAGAGATATAAGAAATATACTAATACACAAATTTTAAGTATCCATCCTGAATTAAACATTTCATAGAAAACATTGTATTTATAAAAAATGAAGAGTTGAAAAAGTTAAAGAATTAAATTTCGCTGCAAATTTAAATTTTTTAATCCCGATATATCTGTAACCACAAAGACCAAATTTAATTTGAGCCAAGTCGTTGAACCACTACTGGTTCAAATTTGAACCACCGATTCAAAGTTAAAGACTTATGAAGGATGTATCGGTTATTCAAAGTTGAGCCGGTGAAAGGCAGTCCAAATTCCAGATATTCGGTCTCAGGACTCATAGAACTTCAATAATATTAACTTATAAGTCAAAGTTTGAAATATCAAAGACTTTCAATTTATTAGTTTAAAATTAGATATAAAACTTCTAAAATTATATTGTGTTTTGAGTCTAGGAATTATATTGTGTTTTGAGTCTAGGAATTATATTGTGTTTTGAGTCTAGGAATTATATTGTGTTTAGAGTTTAGGAATTTATTTCGAAATTCTTTTGGGAGAATCTTCTTTTAAGGTTACTATGATACTTAAATTAAAAGCACGGCTTAAAGGGACTGTAAGCGTATGTTTAAGTGACCCTCCATGCAAAGATGGCATTGTCTGATTTACAACGGTACCCTTGAAGCTTTGTCTGATCAAGTATAAATTAGATATCCATGTTTCTTGTCCCAGTTTTTTTTCTTTTGTGGCTTCCCTGAAAAAGTGACTTGCGCATTACTTGCTTGTACAAAATAGCGGAGAAATAATCAGATTTGAACACTTTTAAACCTAGTCTTTTACATTTTAAATCAAATTAAACCCTCGTTGTAGGGTCACATTTGCTTATATACTACCTTTAAATGTGAAACATATTAAATATTAAAAATATTAAAATATTAAATATAAAAGAATATTGAATATAACCTGAAATTGTTGATTGTCGTCTCCGTCAAACTCATACTCTTCCAATTCATTTATTGCTTCAAACTGTTTACGTAAACTCTAAATAAAGGTAATGCAAAAGTAAACATAACAACAAACTATTTACGTAAACTCTAAATAAAGGTAATGCAAAAGTAAACATAACAACAAACTATTTACGTAAACTCTAAATAAATGTATTGTACAAAGTAAACATAATAACAAACTGTTTACGTAAACTCTAAATAAACTGTACTGCAGCAAATAAACATGACAACAAATTGCTTACGCAAACTCTTACTTAAACGTACTGCAAAAAGCAAACATTACAACAATGTCTATCGTAGATACCATTTTGTTATAAGAAATAAAATAAAATGTTAAAAAGTAAGCATGACAAAAAATTATTTACAAAACCTCTCAATTAACCGTACTGCATATTTCTTTATAGCATTAAATTTTGTCATGGTCCTTGCATTATTATAAATTGTAAAGTTAATTTTGTAATATCTTTATTGCCATGTCACTGCTTGCAAATAAAGATTATAACAACCAAATTGATTATCAAGTACAATAGGTGGCAACAGAGAAATGGACCAATTATGCATGACGTCACAAGTGTCAAATAAACAAGGAAAACGAAAACAGAAAATATAGAACACATAAAATTGCACTTATTTTATTGTGATATAAACACTGTATTCTAAAATAATCGCTATTATTAATAATTTTTTCGGACACAAAAACAGAGTTGACACTTGTGACGTCAGAATACAGATGTACTGAGAGTGTACAAATTTTACGTTGCCATCTATTGTACTATGGAATCTATTTGACAACAACTATCTTTGCAGCAACAACAAAATTAGGGTTTGAAATGATAAAAATAAATTTTTTTGTATTCTGACTTTAATACACAAGGTGAAAGATTGTTGAGTAGAAGACCAAACCGTGATTGAATTTAAAAATTAGAAAACGAATTGCCTCTGGTTAGTCCAGGTTAAGAGTGACATGTAAAGCTATAGAAAATAAGAAAATATCTGTGATTGATGAACAGAATAACGTTTAAAGGGCACCGTTGTGAATCAGACATATCTTTCTATGAACGGACCCTTGAGCTAAAAACTTTTGAATGGGATATCCTTAATCACGATCGGTTAATTAATCTGGAGATTAATAACAAGAGGAGAACAAGCATATTAATCTGGAGATTAAGATAAAGAAGAGATCAATATCCACAATACTAAAGTTTTGAGCTCAGCCTCTTTAAGGTAATAAGGTTAAATCTCTGTTTTGTAAATAAACAAAATAATTTCAAAGATTCAAAAAATTTATCTAAGATAAAAAACTTGATATTACCTTTTCACTTTCAGTGCCGGACATGTCTAGTTCTGATTGAAGAGATAATCTAAACATTTTATTAAATGTTATTTTTGTTAAATTTTCAAAGAAAAATGTTTAGTAATTTTTTACAACTATCATTAACTTGTTCTAATTATCTTTATTATTATTATTGCTATTTTCATGATTGTTACTATTATAATTATTATTATTATATCATGTATAGTTTATGAACTGTATTCAAGGGAACAGGTTAACTCTTCCCTCTCCAGTAACAAGCTCTAGTACATAGTACATAGTATACATATTAGATAAATATACAGTACACAGTACTCATGTATAGTTTATGAACTGTATTCAAGGGAACAGGTTAACTCTTCCCTCTCCAGTAACAAGCTCTGTATACAGTACATAATAGATAAGATAAGCTAAGTTTATTGCTAAAATACATGTATCTGTGTACAGAACGAGTTTACAATTACAAATTGATGATTATATTAACAGTACAAGTATAAAGCAATTAGGTGGAAAATAGCTCTTGGCTGTTTTGATTATTTTTTCCACCTAATTTTAATAATAATAAAAAAACATTTCAATTAAATAGATTTAAGGAGAACTATTAGAGATCAGGGTGCGAATTTATCTTATGCAAAATAAATTATACATTAAGTAGAATAACTAGAGTTTAAAGTAAATTTCTGACATGTACACAACAAATATCAAAGCATATTAAAACATATATAATTAGTTTTACAAGAATAGCAATTCGGTTTATAACACATTGTAATGTAATTTTCAAAAAGAAAATTTAGTAATCTATTTTTGAATATACCAGAGAGTCGCTTCTTTTTAAGTCAAGAGGCAGGTTATTCAACATCTTAAGAAGAGAGCTTGATGATAAACACTGTAATGAGCACATTTTGAGAATGTCAAGTTGATAGTTAAGAGATCTTTCAAAGTTTTCAAGCATTTTGAAATTGTTTTCAAAAGATGCAGGAAGAAGTTTATGTGTATATTTATACATACATATAGCTAGATATATAGATAGATATATAGTACACAGTAGACATGCATAGTTTATGTACTGAATTCAAGGGACCAAGTCAACTAATCCCTCTCTTACTAGTTCTACATACATCACGCAGTAAATATATAAATATACAAATTACAGGCTCTACACAGACAAGTACACTGCACACAGCACATAGATATACAAGCTCTATAGAGAACACAGTACATAGTAAATAGACATACAAACCCTGTACAGTAAACAGTACATAGTACATAGATATACAAGCTCTATGCAGTACACAGTAGATTCACTAGATATATATATAAAAACTTTATTCATAACACGACTCATAAGCATACAATTCAGCTCCATACATTACAATTGAATAGTCACTAGCTATACTGTCAGCTCTGAGTTGAGCAACATAAATGGACTTGTCAAAGTTACTGATAATGTTATTCACAAATGTTTGGAAGGACTTGTCGACTATTAAGTACTGTAAAGGGAAATATTGCTGCTTTTAAATCAAATTTTAAGAAACTGGCGCACTACAAATTCAAAATCGTAAAGATAATATCCATAATACTATGAAATTGCAGTCTTACAAAGATCGCTTAAAACTGCTATAAGTGTTTACAGATTTTTAAACGTGTGTGCAGGGGTCTCTAGCGGTGTTATTTTGTACTACAAAACTAAAATGTCAAGTATACTGATAACTTTCTCAAAAACCGGTTTATAAATTGGTGGATTTTATAGAAACATTTAGTACATTTTTAAAGGAATAAAATCATTTCATTTTCAAATAAATTCAAGATGTTATTTCATATTTACTATTTGAATTTAAAATGAGTAAATTATAGGGTTAAATGAATTTAAAATAAAAAATGTACAATTAAATGTACATTAAAAACTCTTCGAGTATATTTTAGTTATAATTGGAATGACTGAACTAAAATCCAATCCTGGCCAATCCTATACTTGCATCTTAATATTATAGACTAGCTGGAAACCCAGCGTGGCCCAGGGGAGTGAAATTACAATTTTAAATATTTTCCCTTCTCTAAAAGTGGGCCTATACCCAGCTATAAACAAAAAAACCCGATTTCGGTTATACCACCTCGTATATATTCGACAGGTTTCGAGAGTTGATCGGAGCTACGATCATCAATCATCATATCTGATTATGGTTCTTAGATGCACGTGGATAGAAATATGAGTTCTACTTAGCTTAGACACCTAGGCATAGCTGAGTTCCCAAGATATTTTACTTAAATATGATAATTTACTCGAAAACTAAAAACCAACTCACTAAACTTAGAATATTTTTCATTTCGACTTCCCTTATAAAGACATATGAACCTAATCAGGGTTCATGCATTTTTTAAACAGAAATGCAAACACCCAAACAAAGAGACATACAAACTGATTCTACTACTTTATACATAAATAATACAAATATATAATATAGATGATATATATGGACATAATTAAAAGAATATTTGAAATAAACCTGAATCTGACGCTCAAGCTCGAATTTCCTGTTCATCACTACATCAATCTCATCTCTGATAAATATATGGAAAATATATAATGAATTATATATGTATATATTCCTAGCCAAAGCTTCAAGTTTATCTTGAAGGTAAAGGTTAGAATTCCTTAATTCTTCACTCTCCCTCTCTCCTCTTCTAAATATATAAATTACTAGCTTGGGAACCCAGCTTGACCCAGGGAAGGGAAGCTAGTTTCACCGTTTACCCGGCCTTTGTTGTAAATTACGATTTTAACTATTTTTCCCGTTAAAATTGGACCCACTCAAAATCCGCGGGTTCCCCAATCAAAATTTGAGGCAAATCAGTCCAGGGTTGCCTGAGTTGTAATTAAACAAAGATACAACTTGTATTGAAAAAAAATTCTGAAAAAGATAATTTGAACTCAATATCTCTTCTCATTAAAAATTGCCATTTTTAAATGTTGTTTCACAGTTCGGCTAAAGAAACATCAAAGAAAATTGTCATAGTTAAAAATTCGACGATATCTTAAACATCATTGCTCAGAAAAAGGTGAAAAGAATGATGTTGTGATTAGGCTATGCTCTTCTTTAAATAGAAGGTCACTTGACATAACGGTAACAGTCCCTTTAAGAAATAATATCCCCTGAGCTATCTTATAACATCTTCTTGTTCTCTTTGCCTTCTCTCAAGGGTTGGTATATTTTATATACCGTTTTGTAAGCATTAAATTTACCTCCTCATGGCCCATGGGTCCTATTAAACTACTTCTGCTTCCTGATAAGAGCTTTTAAACAACTGCAGCTACCTGATGAGAGCTTCTTGTTCTCTTTGTCTTCTCTCCAGGTCTTGTATAGTTTGTGAACTGTATTCAAGGGAGCAGGTCAACTCCTCCCTCTCCAGTAACAAGCTCTAGTACATAGTAGATAAATATACAGTACAAAGTACTCATGTATAGTTTGTGAACTGTATTCAAGGAAACAGGTCAACTCTTCCCTCTCCAGTAACAAGCTCTAGTACATAGTACATAGTACATAGTAGATAAATATACAGTACACAGTACTCATGTATAGTTTACCTCCTTCAACATATATTGGCTAGACTAACCTGACAGACTCAACTTGGTCAAAATGGGCCTGCATTCTTGTTCTTCGTTGATTAAATTGTAATTGCAATCTAAAGATATAGACTTTAAATTTTGAAATTTTAATAGCAGGGTGAAAAAGTTACCTTTCCGCCCTGTTGTAGGGCGATAAAGTCACTTAATCACCCTACAATATTAGGTGTGATAAATTCCATCAAAATTGAATAAAAATATTGATAATTTAGAACCATCAAATAAACTAAAATTACCGACCGAAATAGTTAAGACATTGTAAACAAAATCAACTGAAAGTGCATGGTTGCCTTTTTAATTTTTCCTGATATTGGTACTAGCGAAAAGTATTTCTAATAACAAGAAAACGGCCATGGTATGCCCAATTTAAAGAGACTGTAAGCGTAATTTCAAGTGACCCTCCATGCAAAGATGGCAATGTCCGATTTACAACGGTATCCTTGTAACCTTAATCTGATCAAAAATGTGGGTGATACCGTCGTTTTCTAATTGGAACCGTGTTTATTTCTGGGAGTTTTTCCATGGCTTCTTATAAGCAAGAAATACGCAGACAAAACGCAAATAAACAGTTTTAAGGATCAAACGATGATATCTATTTCATACTTGAGCGGGTACTGTTGTAATTCAGTAATTTGAATCTTACATGAATGGAGGTTAACTTTTAATTATATGAACAGTCCCTTTAAAAGAAAAAATATGTCCTCTTACCTTTGTATTTCTTGTTTCAGGTTGTTCTCTCTCTCCTCGACATCTCGGAGGTCAGAGGTCAGCCTCTGATTCTGTTCCATCAAATCATTGATAGTCTATAATAAATATTAATCAAATCATTGATAGTCTATAATAAATATTGATCAAATCATTGATAGTAGGAAACAATTGATTAAGATTAAATCAGTGATACTCTATAATAAACAATTGATCAAATCATTCATCTTCTACAATAAACAATCAATTTAATTATTGATTGTTTACAATAATCAATTGATTAGATCATTGATCGTCTACAGTGAACAAGATCAGATCATTGATCGTCTACAGTGAACAAGATCAGATCATCGGTCGTCTACAGTGAACAAGATTAGATCATCGGTCGTCTACTGTAAAAAACTAAGTTGAATGATCGTCTGCAGTAAATAAGATCAGGTTATCAATCGTTTCTAAAGTAAACAACATCTGTTCATCAAGATATGTTAAATATATCAAATTCATTTATGAAATATTCAATTATAAAATTTTAGGAAAATTATTAGAGACAGGAAGTACTTTAGCTTGTCTATTAAAATTCCGCACTACGTAACATCCTACTTAACCTCTAATTGCCATAATGCACCACAATTCATCATCTACATATACAATATGAAATATATACATATTGCTAAAATAATAACAAAAAATATATATGCTCACAGCCCCAAAAGCCTATTATTACAGGGTTTATTAAAACTTTTTTGAAAGACTTTAAGTTTTGTATCGTGCATTTTTAGCGCCTACTTTTTTATTTATTTTTTTATTTTTAGGGTTCTCTTCTCTTTTAACTTCTATGAAAAAACTTTGTGTTTGTCAAAATGATTCAAAGGTTTATTTTTTAAAGAAAAAAATTGCTAAAATTTTAGTTTAGACTTTAATTAATGAAGTAAAATCAGAATCCATAAGATAATTTGTTTCAAATCATGAACGTTCTTGTCTACAGGGGAAAACAGCGTGAAAAATGTCTTTCTTTGGACAGTGTGACATATAAAACTTTGGAATAGAAAAGACACCTGCTAGACTTAAGGTTTTATTTTCAATAGTTCATGGAACATTGAACCCAGCAATCCCAGTTTACTAACTTGATTTTCAAGCTTAACGTAAAACTATAGCACTTTAACATACAATATACAGAAGATTGTTACTTTGTAGTTTTTCTAATCCACATTTTCCCCTTTGCAGTTCCCGTTGTTCTTTATTAGAAAATTTGTCTTTACGTCTTTACGTCGGCTTCAAAAATAATTTTTAAACGTAAAAGTGTAAAGTTCTCATATTGTCAACGGAATTGTAAAGAAATTATCTAAAGGGGTAATTTTCAAAATAAAAATTTTCAATTTTTTGAAAAAATAAAAAAAAAATGATTTTTGATGTTATTTTTTTTTTGTCGGTCCAAATTTCCCTTAATTTACCAACTGTTACGGTTGAGAGGTGTGTAGTGTGAAGTGTGCACGCACGCGTCCAAATCTCGAAACATAATATTTCATAAGCGCACGCTTCCCTTCGTGGTTTCTTTATCCTTCCGGCCTTTCATGTGTCTGTCTGTATGTACTACATGTCTGTCTGTAGTACAGTGTGACTGTCTGTAGTACAATATGTCTGACTGTCTGAACTCTAAAGTACTGTGCGTGTCTGTTTTCTTAAAACTGTTTGTTTGTTGAAACAAAAAATACCTGATTTTTATCTCTTTCAAAAAATTTATGAGAACTACTATGATGACCTATTGCATCCCTGAAATAGCAAATTTTGTAGATTTATAATTTATTGCATTTATAAACTTATCTTGTCTTAATTAAGTATTTTAAGAAATAAAAAAATCCTGTGATTCATAATATTCATATTCATAATAATATTATCAGAAGTAGGAGATTTTGTGCTGATAATCTCTGGATAGATAGATAGATAGATAGATAGATAGATAGATAGATAGATAGATAGATAAATAGGTAGATAGATGTATTTTACTGTAAATAATAAATCATTGAATATCGTATTACAAATTCTTAAAACTTTAAATTACACAGATCCTATTATTCTCTATTGTTAAAAGATATCTAATTATCTATATATTTAAATTCATTTGGCGTAAAATTTATAGGAAATAGTTTTTATTGTTCAAATTTTAAAATATAAGTAATTCCAGACATTTGGAGATCTTAGCTTTTTATCATTTCACAGGGTATGAAATCCAAGAAATCGCTTATATGGTAGCAAAATAAGAAACCAAAAAAAAATCGTTTTTTTTGACAGTCATTCACATTTTTTGCCACCAAAAAGGCAATTTTTTATTGTGTTATGTAGAGCATACAATCTAAATTTTGAAGAAAATGTAAATGGCAGAAAAAGATAAATGACTCCCAAATAATCGATTATTTTATTTCGAAAGTAGAAAGAATCTGCAAAAAAAAAAATTTAATAAAAAACATTTGTGTTAATTAAATCATTTCTATTAAACCCACCCCACTCTAAAAGTTGCCGTTACAACATTTACTGTATATATTCAGCCGTACTGTCCAGTCTAGACTACCCTGTGAACTCACCTAAGATTTGTGAGGTCTGTTTGTAACTCTTGAATTCTGATTTCATATTCCTCTTCAGCTACCTCCAACCTTCTACGCAGCTGGTAATTCTCTTGTTCTAAATCCTGAAAATATTCAGAAAACTAATGCTTTTTACTCTTCTGTAAATAAAATTATAATGAAGTTATGCTGAATGATTAAATGAATATACAGGATTAACATTTGACTGAATATAAGGATGAAAATATTCAATAAATGAATGAATAAATTCTTAAGAATTATTTACACATGAATATTTGAATGAAAATGCTAAATAAATAAAATGAAAAAATGATTAAAATTATTTACACATGAATATTTAAATGAAAATGCTAAATAAATAAAAAATGAAAAAATGATTAAAATGATTTACACATGAATATTTGAATGAAATTGCTAAATGAATTAAAAATGAAAAAATTATTAAAATTATTTACACATGAATATTTGAATAAAAATGCTAAATAAATAAAAAATGAATAAATGATTAAAAATTATTTACACATGAATATTTGAAAAAAAAAGTCTAAAAAAAATTAAAATGAATAAATGATATTAAAAATGAATAATAAATAAATATAGGAATAAATTAATAACGAATAAATAATTAAAAATGATGAACAGATATAAATTTATAAATTTATATAAATATAAATTTATGAATAAACTAATGATGAATTAATGATGAATTAAAAAGGATAATCATGTTGAATAAATTAATAAAAAATGATTAAATGATTAAAACTGATAAAAGGATGAATATATGAATGAATATATTGAATGAATGAAAAAATGAATAACCTCAAGTTTGAATGAATACTCCTCTGCCATCTGCTCATTTTTCCTGCTCAATTCCTCGTTCTTGAGAAGCAATGCTTTACCAAGTTCAGCGGCTAGGATTAAATCCCTCTCCTTCCCGGCCAACATCCTTAAAAACATTTTTACATTTTACATTTTTCATTTTTATTTATTATAAGTAGATTCTGGCCTAACCTATAGTAAAACATTATTAGTAACCAGTTGTAGGTGTAGAGTACAGCTAACTGAGCGCACAGGTAGGAAACTAACGTACCCCCTGAGCCCGAAATTTAAAAGAGTATCGTTGAACGAAACTCCCGAGTTTCCTTTTTGGGGTCTTGGCAATTGTGTAGATTTTGATTTAAGAAATTTTAAAAAATGAAGAATATGAAGAAACTTAATAAAATAATATTTCACAACAAAAATATTGATATCTACAAAACTGGGTAACCCCATTCTTGAAACCCGGGTTTCAAAACTGGTTTTCATAACGATACCCTGTCTTAAGTTTTGGGCTCTGGTCTTATACCCACAAAATCTTGTTAAACGACTTTATGAAATCGAGTTCATCTTTCTGACCATGAGCCCGAAACTTAAGACAGAGTTGTGTAAATAAACCTAGTGCATAGGAAACCCGTGCCCGAATTTAATGAATTTGAGCCGTGGCTTAAGTCTGCCAAAAACCGGTTTCAATTGAGCGCCAGCTTAAATATGCAAAAATTGAATACAATTTTAATTGGAACCAACCATGTTTGATACGCGGCTTAAATTTAAGCCGCGGCTCAATTTTTTTAAATTCGGCCTCCGTTGTTGCAAACAAATATTAGGGAGTCACGGAAGTTCGTAGTAAGATGTTGACTCCACTGGAGACCATCGGAGGGAATTCAATATCACTGGAGGGGTTTGAAAAATCGCATTTTTCAATTTAAAACTTTACGCAGGGGGATTTACATTCCACTGGGGAATTCAGTTATCTAATGGATATCTGAATCCCTCCAATGGAATGTAAATCAAGGTTAAGTTATGACTTGCAAATCCCGATTTTTGAAACCCTTCAGGGAAAATGAAATCCCTTTGCTGGTCTCCAGTGGAATCAAAATCTTACCACGATCTTCTTTGATTCTTTATTAGGAAGTTATTAAAATAAAGTTATAAAGTAAGTCTAAAAGTCGACTTTCTTTTCCAAAGTTTTTTGGTTATTTTCTTAGCTCTCAAAATAAGTTCTACGCAAATACAAAAAACCTCATTATGCACAAAAACATCATTATGTACAAAAACCTCATTATGTACAAAAACCTCAATATGTACAAAAACCTCAATATGTACAAAAGTATTTAGATCATATATACTTAACCTGCACTTCTTTCATCAACTTGAAATGGCGAAAAACAAGTAAAAAATGGTTTAACTATTTTTCAATTGTATGTCTGTAAATCAGAAAATGTTTTGTTATTTTTATTTTTAAGAGATAAAATCCTTGAGAAATCTGCAAGTTTTTGGCTCTCAATTGTTTCACATGAAAATTTTATTATTTGCAAATAAAAATGTTCGTAGCACTCCTGTATTCCGAGTCATTAGCCTCTGATCCAATCAGGGTTCAGCCATGTGTTTGATGTCTATTCTGAACCAATAGAAATAATATGGCTGTAACATCTATCTTTCTATCTATCTCATTATCCAATCAGAGTTATGAATTACTGAAGTGCTCTTCTTTGCATATAAATACTTTGCTTGAGTGTCTGGGTGTCTGTTTGTTTGTATCCAATAAACGGCTGAACTGACAAAGCTGAATATTTTCGAGAAAACTCGCTTGACCGGCCCAGAGGGAAGGTTTATGGATGCTTGACCGGCCCAGAGGGAGGGTTTATGGATGCTCAGAAAACTCGCTTGACCGGCCCAGAGGGAAGGTTTATGGATGCTCAGAAGTTTTTTGACTTTTGTAAAATTTTGAAATTCTAAGAAAAAAAATAATAAATCCCCGAGCATATTTTGCTATTGATTTATAGTTTACAAAGAGAAGATGCTCACAGATAGAGACACAATTAAAAATATAAATAGAAGATAAGCGCAAAGCGCACTAAAAGCCTGGTAGTTATTATATTGAGGTAGATTTGAATATAATTACCTGTAAATGTCCTGTTCTGTTGGATCTGAATTCTTCATTACAACCTCCGAATCTTGTGTTAGTGTACACTGCAGAGTTTCATCCATACTGACGGATTTACAGGAATTTAATTCTGGTAAAGACGACATTTCTAGGTCGGTTAATATGATTTATTGAACGATGAAATAAACAGACTAGTTTCATACCCAAAATATGAACATTTTGAAAATAAAAAATGATTTTTAACTTAAAAGTGTAACAATTTTTCCAGAACTGTGATTGATTTTCTATCAAAAGTTTTTTTACTACAATCTTAAAAATAAATATAAAAAACACCAATGAAAATAGGGAATAAAAAAGTGAAAAATGGATATCTCATTTATTCTTGATTAGGCAAAGCTTAAAAGGGTTCTGTTGTGAAATTGACATCCGACTCTAGGAATGTCATTTTAAATCACAATTAAAGCAAAACAACAAATCTACTTACGTTTGAAATTGGATTCAACCGATTAACAGAGAGAGAATAACGCATATTACATTTATCCTAAATCATTTTGTCTGAAAAAAATTGCGAAATAATTAATCTAGGTTTATAACTAGTAAAACTGTTAACATATCTTCTTATCTTAAACCACTTTTTTCTTCAAATTCATGGGATGGTGATTGTTATAGAAAAAAGATTAAAAACTGAACAATTTGTTTAGGATCAATGAATACTGCAGCAGGGTACCTCAAAAGGAATGCGACTCGAAAGACGACTTGAAACTATAAAAATTAACAACCTTTTGTTTTCTACCTTATACACAGTTTTAAATAGTGTTTTAGGGTTGTAGGAAACCAAGAATGTACGAATAAAAGCGAAATTAAATTCCTTGCCTGAAGTCTTAACCTTAAACCCTGTAGTTTATTTCTATTTATGAATTTGAGAATTTGATATAAACATCTATATCCGCACACTATAAACATCTATATCCGCACACTATAAACATCTATATCCGCACACTATAAACATCTATATCCGCACACTATAAACATCTATATCCGCACGCCCTTAAATGAATCAACAATTTATTTTCTCAATCAATATTACAATATGATTTAGGGAAAGTTTTAAAGAAAAGCTTTTTTAGTTAAACCTTTTGGTCAATAGTTTATAAATAATTAGAGTGTAAAATATAAACAGATTTTTTTGAAAATTTTAATTTTTAATACTTTTGGTTTTAATGGCTATACATTCATGAGTTCTTGTTCCATTTAAAACTGACTATAATACAAGAAAGTGTGCAACCTGAGCTTTTTAATTGCTTGATATTGAGATTAATGCTTGATCTTCTCTTTTTACTATTCTCGAGATTAGTTTAATCTTTCAATTTATCTTGAAGTGTGTAATTCAACCAATAGAGTGGCATATGCAAAATCTGGAACACCCCATCACAAGCGGGGAAAATTTGAAATTAAAGGGAGAACTCTCTCATTGGTCGGAATGTTGTAGGGATATAACAAAGAGAGAAAAAGAGAGGATTAAGCAAAAATCAAAAGTATCCACATTGGGATATTTTCAGATTAATCGATGGGATTAGGAGGATCCAATTCTCAATCTCTGTTTGTTTTTTAAATATTTTGATTTCTCATTTAAAAGTTGGGGTTCAAGGGTAAGTCGTTTTGCGAAAATTAGGCATTTTTTCGCCTTTCTTTCGCTCTTGAGAAAAAATGCAAAAATTTACTTTTTTTCGCGAATTTTCGCTTTAATCTGTTCCGCCAAAAAAATACGAAATCTTTACAAAAAAATAAATGCGAAAATTTCGAGAAAAAAATGCGAAAGTTTTGGGTAAAATAATGTGTAAAAGAGAAATCACTTTTTATGATATAATAAAAACAATTTTCACAAAAATTTTTTTTGCTAAATTTCGCATCGTTTTTTGCGATTTTTTCGCTTAAATCATATTTTCGCAAATTTTTCGCCTTTTTTCGAAATTATTTCGTGAAAGTTTTCGTTGCCAGAAACCTTAAAGCCGTCAATAAAAGCGTAATAAACTCAATTTACATTATTAATATTCAAAATATTATCTCACAATAAAGTATTAATAAGCAAAATATGAAAAATCTGTATTTTATGGTTAAAAATGGCTGAATCCCTTCAGTTTCAGTAGAAGTTAATATTTCCATTTACTGTTTAACGTAAATTTAAGGATTCATCTCTAATTGGATGATGAGTATAGAATAGATAGAGAGATTAATGTTACTGCCATGGAATTTCTATTGGTTCAGAATAGACACCAAATACTTGACTGAACCCTGATTGGATCAGACGCTAAAGGGGTCGGCATACAGGAGTGGAATATACAAATTTCTCCTAATTAACCGTGAACTCTGTTATTTAAAACTGTGAAAAAGTCTCTCTGCACCATAATTCTTGACCAAACAAAGAATTGAGAGGTACCATTGTAAATCAGACATCCCAGGATACAAATATAAGGCTTACTCTTTAAATAACTCGTCGACAGACGCTTTAATCATCATCTAACCTTTCCATTTCACCTTCTCAAGTCCTCTAACAAAACTTTAGCATTTTGAAATATTTAATTTTTTAAATTTGTTTAAAACTCTTTTAGCTATTTGTAAATTGCAACTCCAANACAACAAGGCCTATTCATGCAGTTAATGTTCCAGACAATGCCTGATCAAGGCTAGGCTTCCAACCAGGTGTTTAACAAACATAAAATATTTGAAATTTCATAATTAAGAATTTCTCAATTTAGGGCGCTGCATGCCACTCTTCTTAGTTTTAAGTTTGGTGATATCTTGATGTATTTTTTCTAATTTAAAGTAACAAATATTAACAGATTTTTCAACATGCAAATATTTACGGTTTAAACAACATTTAACTATTTTATTCTATCAATAGAAAGGAATTGAGTCTTTGACATTTTCTATATGACTACAATTATGCAACCCAAAGTCGTTGCGTTTTGATTTTTCAAACTATGAGCTCTGTTGGATATAGCCCTATCAGGTTGCAAAGAAATAGGAATTTGAAAATCTGAGTTTTTGGCAAAGACTCAAATGCAAAATGTGCACAATGCAAGTCAACTTAATTACAAACTGGGAATTTTTTGTTCAAAATTTTATAATTTTGTTCAAAATTTTATAATTTTGTTCAAAATTTTATAATTTTGTTCAAAATTTTATAATTTTGTTCAAAATTTTATAATTTTGTTCAAAATTTTATAATTTTTTTCAAAATTTTATAATTTTTTTCAAAATGTTCACAATTTTGATAAACATTTTCTTAATTTCGTTCAAAATGTTCATATCTTCGTTTAAAATGTTTACAATTTCAATCAAAATTTTCTTAATTTCGTTCAAAATGATCAAAATTTTTGTGATTTAGATCAAAATGTTCGTAATTTTGGATTTCGTTCTTTGCATTTGCAACAAAAATTTCAATTTTTGCAAACTTGCATTTTTTTGCCGATTTTAAAAGTAGAGCGTACGAGCTCTCCACTGGTGTATCATTTGTCATATTTGGACATCAAACATGGGTTTTATTTAGGGGGAGGGGCGTAAAATTGACCCCCCCCCCCCATCGTATCATGGTTTTCAAGTACCCCAGCAGGGAAAGGGTTAATCCTTTTTTTAGGAGTTTCTGATTGTTTGCGGGCAAAATTTCCTGGCTTCTGATTGGCTGTTTAGCTTCTACAAACGGCACTCTGATTTTAGACGCTTCCCTGGATATCGAATGACGATTAAACACATCTGCAGATTAATATAACTAACAGAGCTGAAAACTTTAGAATGAGATTTCCGTAATCCCGATCGGTTAGTTAATCTGGAGATTAATAGCAACAGGTTAACAAGCATTATTTAATCTCTAGATTAAGAAAAAGACTGGATCAAGCATTATCTCAATATCCACAATTCTAAAGTTCTGGAATAATTTTATCGAATATTTTGTTAAAAACCTGATACATTGGATATTTTGTTGCGAAATATTTATTTTTAAGATGAATATCAAATATTTCAAATAAAATTCTACAGCCAATTATCGCCGGCAAATTTATAATGTTCTATACATTGTTAATTCTAAATTGTTTTGATTCTCTGAAAAGGCTTCTCTCCAAAATGTTAGAATTAATCAAATTCATTATAGTGTTATTATAGTGTTATTACTGTATTTCGTTGAAACAGAAATTCTGAAATCAATATTTTCCAAAGAATTTTTTTCATAACACTCTTTTTTTTCATTATTACTATTTATTTTTATTTTTTAGTTCAATATTTATTTGAACAAAATTTTAGTTAAGAAAGTCTTCCATGAAACCATTTACGATTGAAATAATATGATACAGTAAGAACCAGATAATGTCATTTTTTAAATCATTTTTTTAAATGTTGCCATTCAATCACCTCTACAAATATTTAGACCACGTTGAGAAATATTTGGGTTGCAAATATAGTACATAGAGTAATAAAATGAAGAAGTAAAGCTAACCTCAGATGTACACAACTGACCTTCTATTAATTAATTAATAGAGTGATCGGTTGTGTACATCACGATATGTTTACGTATCTAACACTGTACACTTGTAAATTGAGTGATCGTATTACTTGGGGGGGGGGGGTTATATATTTTCAATTATCTACATTTTACCACCCCAAAGAAATACGATCACACTCTATACACGTGTACAGTGTTAGATACGTACACATATCGTGAGGGAGGTCTGTTGTGTACATCTGAGGTAAGCTTTACCTCTTCGTTTTATTACTCTATGGAACATACAGTACATGCAGTTCATATGTAGAGTAGCCATGTCGACAGTTTATGATCAGACGAAAAGTATTAAAATATAAAGATAGCCAAACTGTTTTCTGGTTCTCACTGTATGAACATGTATTTTGATAATAAATTTTGCGTTTTATATTTGTGGTTTATAACAAAAATTCGTCACCCTTGGGATAATATTAACAAGGTTAGATCCATAAATTAATAAGAAAACAGATAGAAGACTAGACCCGCATAGAACAAGCGACGCTGTTTTAGAGTCTGAAAACGACCCGCACGACCCAAAAAACGGGCGCCGGCCAGACTCTATTTTAGTAATAATAAG